TATTTTATTTGTTTGTATATAATTATTAATAAAATAAAAAATTCAAGTTTGATACTCAATTAGAACATAAAAATTAATTAACTTAAGTTTTTTTAATTTATATATTATTAAGTTAAAAATTGAATAATGTATCTAATTGAGAAATATTTATGATCTAGTTTTAATTTTTTTAATACATATAACTAATTATATTGTATGTGAAATATTAAGATATTTAATATTTGATGATTATAAAAAAATAGATTTTATATTTAAATACTGTAAAATTATTAAATTTAATATTGATAATATAAAATTAATGTAATATATATTATCATATAAAGACATAATTTTTTTTATTAGGTATTTGGATACATCACCAACAAGAGGTATGTTACTGTAAAGGTGTATGGTGCCATAGGAATAAACATTAGTAAGAAGAAGTATGTTGCTAAAAATGTGGGTGGTACCGTTGAAAGGAACATTAGCAACAAGAGCTATGTTGCTAAAAGGTTGTGGACTACTGTCCCCGCCTATATTTTTGGTGCTGAAAACCACTTATATTTTTTACCAACTTGGACCATGTTGGTGAAAGTATACAATCAGCAACAAAGAATATGTTGCTGAAAAGTGGAAAACCACTCTCCCTCCTCAACTTTTACCAACACAAGCCACGTTGCTGAAACCATATTTTCAACAATGTGGCTTTTCTTGCTAAAAATTATGTTAGATTCCATGCCAGAATCCGATCATTTTTCTCTCAATTTTTAGCAATGTAAGCCATGTTGCTAAAACCCTATCTTCGGCAACATGGCTTATGTTGCTGAAGAGGGTGAGGAAATTCACCTTCCTTTCTCACCAGATTCTAGTGAAAGTTTTCAGCAACATAAGCTACGTTGCTGATACTTTTTTTTTCAGCAATATAGCTTATGTTACTGATATATTAACAACATGATTTTGGTTGGTAATGTATTACCCACCAAGCCTTCTCCAACAAAACTTTTAGTAATCAAACCCATGTTGCTAAAGGGCTTTCAGCAACATAAAAAGCACTTTCAACAACCACTTTCAACAACATACTTCCATGTTGCTGAATATTGAGATTTTAGTAGTGATTGACACAAAGACTACGGAATAATAAAAAAACTTGATATAAAAATCCCACAAACCAAATAAACACTTTGATCAATTCTTCACACTTCGTTAAACTCATCTATAGAAAGGATACTAATTAGTATATTCTCTAATTTAATATATTACACAATATATTTATTAAAAAATTATTATTTTTATTTAAAATTAAAAATAAATAAATTTAAAAATGCAACTATGAGTATAACATATAAGAACTGACTGAATTAACTATATTTATATTATAATTTAACAATTAAACTAGAAGAGTATTGAAAGATATATAGAATCAGAGGATTTATCAATTATTTTCCCTGTAAAAAATACCAAAAACCAAATTTACTTCTACATTTTCTGAACCATTAGCAGGTCTCCTCCTATGCTAAGGGCTGAGGTTAGTGTCAGTAAAACTTTTGTTAAAATTACTAATTTTAATTGTAATTTTATTAGGTAATAGTTTTTTCCTTAAATAATTAATTATAATATTTAGAAATATCTATTTATAAATTAATTTTAATCTATTAAATAATAAATATTAACTATTTTATCAATTATAAATTGTTTTTAGTAATCAAATTAAAATAAAAATTTAACAATTTTAATGATCTTAACAAATTAAACAGTGACCATAACCATAGCTGCTGCTAAGTCTTCAAACCACCGTAGGCTGTCCTTGTTATGAAGTAAATCTTTTAAAATTACAAATTACTTTTCAATACATTCAATAATCTTCAAACAAATTTATTCCAATAAAACAAAAAAAAATATGGGAACATCGGCTCACACCTTGCCTTCATTCTCTTGCCTTTTGAAAAAAAACCACAAGGTGGTGCACCATTAGTCAAAACAGAGATAAGTGGAGATAATAAACACACAATAATCCACTGAATGATGGACTGCACAAAAAATTTCTGTATTATATGCCTCAAATCCAACTCAAGCAAGAATCAATGGGAACCTTGAGTTCTACTGTAATTCCTAACAATATCTTGGCTGAGTAAAATATTAGTTTGGATAGACCTCCCTTTAATTAATATCCGGTGCCCCTGATTTTCAGTAATCAACTCAGGTCTCGCAAAATCTAACGGTGATAATCTTAGTAATTACCCTTGTAGACTCATAAATGGTGAGGAATTAAAAGAGACACGCGAAGCCCATCAATCTAAATCTTGTTATACCCAACCCAATCCACATCATAACTCAGCCTTAACCTTAATAATTTATATCATGATTTGGGATCCGAGCGGCCCGAAAACATTAATCGGATCCAAGATTGGCACACTCTCCTCATGATTTGATTCCTTCTTTATTTTGGTTTTTCCTAGGGTTTCGGGTACAGGTTAAGTATGTAATATATTTGATACTTAACTTAA